GGAACCCTGCTGACGGATTGTAGCCCGGCGTGTAATTAGCCTGAGAGAATTATCAGCATTGGAAAATAAAACTTTATATGATAAGATGTTCCAATTACGGTGGTGGTGTCAGTTATTCGCTCCTAATATCTCTGTATTTATCCCACCATCTCGTCTGCCTCACGAGTCCAGCCAAGACGATACTCTCCCGTTATTGCTCAATCACTGGCTGGGAAGATGGCATATCTTTGCCTTTATTTTTGCTGGCACATCCGAGCACTGAAGCACATTAAAGTAATAAAATTAGGCAGCAAGGCGTCCTAGTCACTCCCACTGTGTTCCCGTAACCCCCTCATTTACAACAGACCGAGACAGAAAAAAAATGTTTTAGAGCAATTTAAGATGAAGCAACGCTGGATATGTAAATCTTGTTTTATTGGCAGTGATGGCAGCTGGCTAATTCCTCTCAAGTGCCTGGTGGCCTCCTGTCCCCTGGCTGCGCTGGGGGGAGGGTGGAGTCCAGGGCACGTGGGTGAGTGCACACCCACTGGGTTGCTTGCTCGCTACCTGCCAGACCTCGGCAGGGTAGACTGTCACCCCCCACCTCGCTTCCCCCTACTTCCGGCGTCCCCGGGTGTAATTCTAGGAAGGAGTCTGTTGAGGAACTGCTGTTTTTACAGATGACAAAGGCAGCTTTCATGTTGTAAAAAATATATCGCATCTCACCTTTTGATTCATGTGAAATATGGAGATCCTGTTCTTAAGTAGCCAGGCACTATTCTCAACAGACCAGGTAGGGAGCTGTGCCAGTGCCCCAGGCCGGCAGATGATGGATTCAAGAAGTGGTGGTCCTGGTACATGAAGGAATACGATGCAGCTGTTAAAAAGCTCGCCACACTGCTTGTGAGCTAGAACCTGAGGGGGTGATGCCCAGGGGAAAATCAGAAAGTGAAAGACAATTCCCAGATGGTTCCACTCATGACACAGAATAGAAATAAGAAAAAGCAATTAGCAAAACACAACAAATACAACTCTAAACTAAACAGTAAGTAGAGGGGAGGGGGAAAAGTAGGGGAAGGGGGTTACAGTGGGATGGGTCTTGGCAGGAACTTTAGTAGAGGGTGAGCACGGGGGGAGGAGTGAGCTGTACTCTCAATGATAGTTTTTTTTTTTTTTAAGATTTATTTATGCATCCAGAACTGGGGTACAGGCCAGAGGTGCAGGGGCAATGAGAGGGTACACCAGAGACAGAGTGGGGAGCAGAACCGGCAGATCGAAGAAGCACACTGCTGAGGGGAGCAGCCGTGGGGGCGGGTCAGGAGAGGTCTGCCGCGCCATGTGGTCACCTCCGGGGCAGGCGGGGATCGAACTCATGTTGCCGTGGCTTTAGCTTCTTAATGCTGAGCTTTACCCCGCTGCACCACAAGGGAGGGCCTCAATGATAGTTTTATCAGTAAGTGGCAACTCAATAAAACATGAAGAGGTGGAGGAAGAAGATTTAGGAGTTGGTAAGAAGGCAGCTTTCATGCGAAAAACACTGGTTTCTGTTAAGACAATTCAAGAGACTAAGAAGAGCTGGGCAGGCTCCTTATTCCCCAGAGGCCTGGCCTCAGCTGCTGCAGAGACCGGCACCCACACAGAGCTCATCATCCAGGTGAACTTTATGAAGACTTCCAGCCAGGCACAGAACTCAGGGATTGAGCGGGGATTTGCCGCATTCAGAATGAGTTATAACAGGATTCCCAAGGTCAGGGAGACAAGGGGGAGAGAGAACGAAAACAATCACCCCACTCTGCAGAACTTATCTTAGACTTTACTGTGCTTAGTGTAACTACCATAAAAATAAGAGGTTGAAGAGCTGTGGAGCAAGTCGGGGCTGGCTGAAATATGTGGCTTTGCGTCCCTGCACTTTCATGTCCCCCTCCCCCCCTTTCTTGGCTCGACTCTGTCCAAACCTGTAGCCCTTAAGAAAGTGCCGTGATTTAAGAGGGATCTGAGCAGCAAGCCCCTGGGAGTTTATATAACTCGGCTCTGTGCTCTTCTTACTCCAGGACAGAGGAAGGAGGCCATGGGGCATCTTTCAAAATGGCCGCCTAGCGACGAGACTCCCAAGGCGGAGGCTGGCGGAAGGGAGCGTTCTTCCAGGGCTCATTCGCAGGGAGCTCTGAGGCCTGCCCACTAGGATGCTAGGGTGCTAACTGCTCACCTCCCATCCCCGAGTTAGGAGCAGCTTCATCGATTCCAGCTGGGGGAGCTCACACCCTCCCCTACAGTATGTGGCTATGTAATAAATGCTGAAGGGGGGAAGGGAGGCTGGGGGAGCGGGAAGGGGGTGCAACGTGCTTAGAGGGCTCTGAATCCGTTTAGCTGAGTCTATGATGGCTCCTTCTGTGCGTTCAGTCAACGTACTATCTTCATGCTGTGTGGCAGCACTAATTAACTAGAAAGTCTGCAGTCTTCTGACCAAGGGATCATCCCCTTGGGGGGTTGGAACTGTTCTGTCTTCTACATCATGATAATGCTGGTGCCTTTGAATGAGGTGGGGCTCGGGCCTTGCTTCCTCCTAGCCAGATCCCTGAATACCAACATCCCATCACCTTAGGGGGAAGTCATGGAAAATTTCAGTTCCTAGGCCCCATGCACTACCCTATGAATTAGACTCTATTTTTTTTAAATTTTTATTTTCTTAGTATTTTTTTAATAAATATTTTTACTTACCTTTTGTTTTGAAGTAAAACATGTAGTATAAAGTACCTAAGCCTTAACTTAGTCAATTGAATATATCTGAAAGCCACGACTTAAATGAAGTTAAAGAACATTTCCACCACTGATAAATCTCCCTCCTTTCCTCCCTTCCCAAGTAACTTCCAGATTCCAGGCACAATTGCTATTCTATCTCCCATCATAGAGAGACGTTTACCTGTGTTTAAACCTCACTTACACTGAATTATATATGGCATTCTTTTGAGTCTTTGAGTTCAACATTATGTGTGTGAGATTTATCCACACAGTTGCTAATTCTTTCCCGTTATGGTGTCTGATCATGTGAATATACAACTTACTTCCCTTACTTACTCTATTCTTTTTTTTTTTTTTTTAGATTTATTTATTAATGCACACAGAACTGGGGCACAGGCCAGAGGTGCAGAGACAGCGAGAGGATTCACCAGAGACAGAGCAGGGAGCAGAATAGGCAGATCAATGAAGTACACTGCTGAGGGGAGCAGCGGGCGGGTCAGGAGAGGTCTGCCGTCCATGTGGTCACCTCTGGAGCCAGGGATCAAACTCGCACTGAAGCGGCTACTGCCAGCTTGCAGTGCTGCACTTTAGCCCACTGCGACACCAGGGAGGGCCCTTACTCACTCTGTTCTTGATGGAATCTGATGGTTTCCAGGTTTTGACTCTTTCATGAAAGCTGTTAAGACCATTCATATAAGGGGCTTTTGTGCCTGTAAGCACGCATCTCCATTGGAGTGGCAGTGCTGAGTTACATGTTTAGCTTCGGCAGGTAGCTAGGCCACAGTTTTGAAGTTGTACCAATTTGCACACTCATCAACAGTGAGTGGGAATTCCGTTGCTCTGCATTCATGCCGTCATTTATTATTGTCAGATCATTTGTATTAGCCATTTTAATAGGTGCCTATCAGAATTGTCTTTGTTTTCATTTCCTTCTCTCCTGTCCAGTAAAGGTATTAAGAAACTTTTCATGTGCTTATTGGCCTGGCCTTTTGGAGTTCCTCTTTTGAGATGAATCGTGTCTTTTTAAAATCAGGGAATAAGTCAATCATCCTCTTAATCTGCAGGACCCTTTTGTTATCAACTACTCCAGTCAACGTAAGAACACTAATGGCAGAGAACTTCTCTGAAATTAGCTTGCTAACCAACTAACATCTCTCTTCTCAACTGGAAAGTTCCATGAGATCCCTGCTATTTCTTCAATTCTCAGCCTGCAGCTCACGTTCTGCCTATTCAGTCTACCTCTCACCTTTGTTTTAACTACGTATGGGTGCCTTGGTCTTTGAAATGTGGCTGGTTGTGTTTTTGCTGATGAGCTCTGGCTCAGCGTGGAACATGAGGCCTGGGAATGTGAGGCACCTCTTGCCTTCCTGGCACTTGGTTGGTCTTGCAAACCTGTCATGCACAGGTGGAACAGAGAAAGCCAGGAAGGGGAGGAAGAGTTTTGGATCTTCCTTTGTCAGCCCTCATTCCACCACTCCATCAACCGGGAGGTGTGCAGCCCCCAGGTCTCCTTTCTCTTCTCCAATATCAACACCTGCCTTTTCCCCTTGGCCAGAAGCCCACAGGAGGGAACATGTATGTTCAGCATGTTTCTCTGCCTGAGTTTGTTGTGTGTGATGGTGTGTCTGTGACCTGCTTCGGTTTATCAAGGAGGAGCCATCTCCTGTCTCTCTACCTTTGATGGTAACTATGCAATAATTTACCTTCAGGGTCAAACAGTCTCCATCTCTCTGTACCCCATGAACCAGACAAAGCAACAGACACATCTTCCTGTTTTCAGCAACCTCAGATCTCCTGTACTCCATCCATCCCATTCAGTAGAGACTGTTAGGGGTGGAATCTCAGCGGGAGAGTTTGTTGGTCTGCTCTTTAGCCTGATCATCCTGGAGAGAGAGGTGTGTTGTTTCTGGAAAAAATCAAGAGATAGAAGGAAGGGGAAGACAAGCAGGGGGAGTTTGATAACAAATAGATTCCTCTTGTTGCTTTTTCCTTCTGTGACCTGTGACTCAGAGGCCAGCATGGCCGGAAGTGGTGAGGTGGTGGGGAAAGAAGAAAATGCTCCATGCAGTGTGTGTGCGTGAGTGAGTATGTGCCTGCATGTGTGAGACCCCCCCCCCCCCCCCAGCTCCAACCTGGCCTACAGGCTGGGTACAATGGCCTCAGAAGAAACTTGCAGTATCATAGCCTCGGACAAAAGTCTACCTTGTTTTCACATGGCCGTGGAATCTGGCATTTGCAACCGCGAGACCAGCTCCCATAAATACTTCTTTTTCCACTTGTAGGCTGGCTATGATGGCGAGAGCATTGGAAATTGCCCATTTTCTCAGCGTCTCTTCATGATTCTCTGGCTAAAAGGTGTTATATTTAATGTGACAACAGTGGACCTGAAAAGGTAAGACAAGGTTTCTTCATGATTGAGTGGCTGCTCTTGATTTCACACACACACTCACTCACTCCGGGACACCCATGAGCATGTCCATGGTGGTCAGGACCCTGTATGGAAGCCGAGCGTGGGCCAGGTGGTAATTACAAGCTCATCGGCTGACTCCACCATAATCAGGCAGGGGTAGGAGTGGGGGCGCCCCAGGAACCTGCTCTCCCAGTTACTGATCAGCTGCAGAGCTCCCCAGAGCCTGTCTGAGCATCGGTCCTGGCTGGCCACACCGGGAGACTTAACTTTCCACCTCCACATCCAGCACAGGGCCTGCTCCCACTATCAGCGTGACACTTTACACACCCACAGTCTCCTTTGAAATTCACCAGCGTTTTCTTTTTGATTGGTGAGGCCATGGCTAAGCCTTGGAAATCTGGGCACATTTCCTGTAAATGCTGCATTTTCCTCCCACCCAGGAAGCCCGCAGACCTGCAGAACCTGGCTCCTGGAACAAATCCTCCTTTTATGACCTTTGATGGTGAAGTTAAGACGGATGTGAACAAGATCGAGGAGTTCTTAGAGGAGAAATTAGCTCCCCCAAGGTCGGTATCATAAAAACAGCTTCCATAACTGGTTCTGGCCCCGGCGCCCTTTCCCCCTGCCCCCCACCTTTGAGGACAATTCTGGGGCTCTTGGCTTTATGCATGTAGCCTTCTGTGCTGCTGACTCCCTTAGCTGGACCTGTAGCTTGCCACGGGAAGTACAGAGAGCGGCAAGAACAGAAACTTTGCGTGAAGGGGACTTCGAGCTCTCTGCACCCACAATTTGGTGTGAGGGTTGAATGGCAGGAAGTTGGTGGTTTGAGCGGTTTGGCCATTTCTGGAAGGTGTCTGTGTTGACATGCAATATCACGAAATGCTGGGAACTTCTAGTCCATGGTATTTACTTCAGTAGGGAGACACAGTGAGGCCAGGTGAGACCATCCCAGGGGGATCTAGAATCTTCTCCCTAGACGGCATTGCTTCTGGTCCTTGTAGACAGAGTGGGAAGGCCATCAGGGGAAGTTTTCTTCTATATATTCACTCAGAGGAAGATATGTCCCTCACCACCATCAAGTCATCCAACCTCAAGCATTGCTGTCTGTGATATATTCATTTTGAATTTTTCAAGGTATCCAAAGCTGGGGACTCAGCACCCTGAATCTAACTCTGCAGGAAATGATGTATTTGCCAAATTTTCAGCATTTATAAAAAACACCAAGAAGGATGCCAACGAGAGTGAGTGCCTGCATCTTCCTGTCCCTGTTGCCAATGCAGACCCCAGACTACAGGGGAGTAGCACCCTGGAAGTCCCCAGGAATTCTGGCACCCTGTGTATAGAGACAAAGACAGAGTCCCTCCAACTTTGAGGCTGCACATGGCTTTCAAGGCCTGAACAGTTTATCTGGAGGCTGGGAGCCCAGAAAATGACATATTTTAGAAAAAGATTTATTTATTTATGCATACAGAACTGGGGTACAGGCCAGAGGTGCAGGAGCCGTGAGAGGATTCACTAGAGACAGAGTGGGGAGCAGAACAGGCAGATAGAGGAAGCACACTGCTGAGGGGAGCAGCGGGCGAGACAGCAGAGGTCTGCCGCGCCCTGTGGTCACCTCCGGGGCTGGGGATTGAACTCTCACCTAAGCAGCTGTGGCTGGCTTACAGTGCTGCGCTATCACCCGTTGCACCACCAGGGAGGGCCCCAGACAACAACATTTTTTAGGAGAAAATTATCACTGTACAGAAAGTGTTTGATGTTCCCCAGTGTCGCTTCATTGTGGGCTTCTCATAAATACTTTTTAAACAAATGAATGAGTTCAGCAGTAGCAATGTTCAGTAGGCATTACTGAAATGACTGCCCCTAACTCCCCCCCACACTCACTCTCTCTCTCCCTCCCTCTCTCTGAGGACCCACGACCACCCTCATGTCCATCAGTAGAAGCAGAGCTATTTTCCGGGGGCGGGGTGTGAGTCCTTTCCTCAGACCGATTGCTCCCCAGACTCGCCTGACTCTGTGTCTCCATGGCTTGGGAAGAAGGGGGCTTCCTGTCTCTGAGGGGCTGTGTTTGCCTTCGTGTTTCAGTTTATGAAAAGAATCTGCTGAAGGCTCTGAAGAAGCTGGATCATTACTTAAATAGCCCCTTGCCGGATGAAATAGATGCCGATGGCACCGAGGACGTCGCTGCTTCTGGAAGGAAGTTCCTGGACGGGGATGAGCTCACGCTGGCCGACTGCAACCTCTTACCCAAGCTCCACATTATTAAGGTTCGCAGCGGCTCCGTCACGGGTGTGGAAGACATGAATGGGGCTTTGTTTGATTTGGTTTTGGCTTGTGTTTTGGCCAGACACCGAAACCATCTGAAATGTGCACTGCAGAATTTAAAAAGTTGAGCTTGTTTCTGTCTGAAACAGCCAAACCCCAAGTTTCAGATCCATGGCGTTGCTCAGGGATACTTTCCTCCCAGGGCCCCTCCCCCCAGGTCACAGCCCACCCCCACCCTGAGGGAGAGGTGTGGGACAGCGCCTGGAGGGATGGTGGCTGCAGCCCACACTTGCTGCTTTAGGCTCGCAGCTGATGTGTGGAATCTTCAGTATGAAGATGTGCGCTGAGTCACTTGTGGCCGATGGCTGGGATTGGCATGTCATCGAGATGACAAGGCGTGTCCTCTCAGCTCTTTACACGGACCCTCGCCCCTGGGGTGCAGCACCCAGCTCCTGGCTGGGCCTCTGCCAGGTTTGGCCTCTGTCTTCCCAGAGAGACAAAGTGAATGTAAGAGCGGGGGGTCATTTCCTCCTAGTGCTGACACCCCTAGGCCAGAGCTGCTCCAGCATTAGCAGGCCTGTGGCTGTCTGGGAGCGCTTTAGAAGTACAGGCCAGTGGAGCCAGACCTGTCCTACTCACTAGAACTTTGGGGGCTGACCCAGGGGTCCCAAGGGCACCCACTTGGAGCCTTCAGTGATGGCTGCCTCATTAGTGTCCCTTGCTGTCACACCGCTGTGTCTGAGACCTGCAGGAGCCCCCGATGTCCCAGGAGGAAGCCCAAGGTTTGTTCTGGGCATCTTGATTATTACAGTCCCAGCCGGGCTACAGCAAGGCCTGTGGTTCAAGGAAAGGGAAGGTGGGAGAGAAAACGAGGGCAAATCCAGGGCTAGAAACTTGCGTTTGTTGTTCGAATGGCACATTTAATTGGCATTAAGAAATTAATCTACAAATGTGACAGGCATTGTTGGTGACACGGCTGCCCCTGTGGCTGGCAGCCTCCCACCCTGTCACCTCACGGCATTCCCTCCTTCTCTCCTTGCGCTTCTTCTTCCTCTTCCTTGCTTCCCCCTTTTGTCTTCTTTCTGTTCTCTTACACGTGTGCTCAAGGGCACCAGCTTGAAATGCAAGTCTTGAAAGATGTTGATCTCACAAGTAAATATTCTTTCCAACAACTCTGTCAATTTCCCGATGTCTAAAATTTATGGCAGCATTGCAGCCCCTCAAAATCTGCTCCACTGCCGAGTGTTCAAATGGGGAGTCTAGGAAGCACTTTAAAAAAATTGTCCTTGTGAATTTTAGTGGCTATTTCCTCGTTTTTGCTATGAATGGGGTAATGTCACAGAAGGACGTGGAGGTGGGAAAAGCCAGGGGACACCCCGATCATATAACAGCATGGCCACCTAGATCCTTTAAAGAATGTCAGAGGAAGGGAGAAATGACAGTAAAATAAATCAGCCCCTGACTCCAGTATAAGACTTAAGAACAGAGTCTTCAAAGCCATTTAGCACTCAGATTACCAAACAGCTTAATAAACTTCCAGGATGGAGCACTTCTGAAAGGAAATGAGAAACAGTCTAGAGGATTTTATGGTAGGAGATGAGAGAGTAAAAGAATTTATAATTTAAATTTAATAAAATGTATAATTTATTCCCCTTCCTGAAACCCAGAGGAAACAATAAGAAAAAATAGAGCATTAACTTTATCTTTCATAAAACCAGGAAAGTACAGATCCCCAACTCAAAGACAAAGAAACTTCGGACAGTGTGAGGTGTCACAAGATCAAGACCTGTTTCTCTACATGTTTGTGGGGGTTAATGTTTCCCTAAAAGTCAATAATGCAGTCCTAAAATTCTCAAATCAAACATTTTCTGTCTGACGACGAAGGCGTAATATAGATGAGAGTGAGAGAAAAAGAAATCACTCTCCAGCGGCAAGCTCCAGGAGGCGGAGTTGAACGGTGCTCACAGGGACAGTCTTTATATTCTTCATCTCCCCAATCCAGAGTAAAAGTGGGGAGAGGAAATGAGAGGGGAGGTCATATCCCCTGTGAATCAGTGCAGGGAAAATGAAACAGCCTTGAAACATTCAAGAGAGAAACTATAAATTACATGAACATCACTTTAAACCATGAACACCTAGTGCTGAGTATGGGAATCTCAGCGTGGAAAATGCCTTACCACTAAACCTGAAGCCAACCCTGACCCTCAACAATGGTAACCTTAACGGTGAACCTAACCCTAACCCTGTACTTAATTTAAACCTAAACTCAACCTTGAACTTAACCATAACCTTAACCTTAACCCAAACCTAACCCTAATTCTAAGCTTGACCCTAATCATAACCCTAACCATGAATTTTTTCCTAACCCTGTACTTAATCCAAACCTGATCCAAACCTTAACCCTCCTCCTACTGAGGCAGAGGATGGAGCAGCGTTTGGTGACTTGATGTATGAGATTTGTATCCACATGGGTCTACCAGCTGTCCCATCTCTCTCCCTTGATCTCCACACTGTTTTTAAGAATTTGATGGGTCCAGTAGTTCTGACTCAATAAAAGATGATTAATAATAACCAAAAAGAATCCAAGGGGACCTAAATGTGGCTAGAGATGAAACAAAGAGAGTCATTTATATGATGGAGAGTCCCACAAATTAAAGAACTTTTCAGAGAGACACCTCACTGTGGCCTCGAAGAAATAAAAGAGAACATGAATCATCTGAGAAAAAGCCCAAAGACCAGATACACCGTGTAAAAATATATATACTATCACAAAGAGGCTGAGCATCAGGCTGCCAAGTCTCAAGAAAGAGACTTGGGAAAGAACATCATTCCCAAAGTAAATATTTGAAGTAGCAAGAGCTAGACCTTTCAGGCAGTACTCAGGGGCAAGAAATCCATCAAAAATCAATTCGAGACATACCAGGAGGTAAAGGTGATTGGAGAGATGCCCAATGTTCATCATTAGAAATGGCAAGAGAAAAGAGGCAGATGCAAAGGAAATATTATTTGGGCTAAAGAATGACCTGAACCTACAAGTTAAATAACATGTTGACAATGCACTATGATGTGTTTAATTAACGAACCTTGAGGATAAAATGACCCTGGAGTCTCTAATGATAATACTGGTAATAATAATAATAATAGCAATAGCAACAACAGCATCGATAGTAGTAATCAGTAAGACCACCGCATAAGGAAGAAATTCAGACTGGCCTCATCTATTTCATGACCACAACCCAAGCCGGGAAGAATCTCTTAACTCTTACAGAGAACTAAGGAAAGGTTGTGTGATGCAAGAATTTTATATTCAAGTCAATTGTTTTTACCAAGACATCTGGGCTCCATAAAATAAACTCTTTTTTTAAAAAAGATAAAATTGTGATAAATGAATAAAAGAAGAATCTGAGAACAGAGAAGGTGTCAGATATGAGAGAACTGGCAAGGAACAGAAATTGTTTAAGTCGAAAATTACAACAAAGACTGAGCAAGTAAGATTATAATAGTTACAGGAATCTGTGTAAATGGGGGATGTTTTTACTGCCTGTGGGAGAATAAATGGAAAGAAGCATCACTTCACTCATTTCCTCATTTGTCACAGCAGGATTAAGTAGATGGCATCCAAGGTGATATATCAAGAAGTAGAGAATTCCTATGATTGAAATGCTATATGGAAAACCTCTGGAAGAGCTAAAATAGATCACGAATCCTAAATTGCCACAAATGGAAACACACAAATACACAGATATCCACAGACGGATGGAAAGTGGAATAACATATCGCATTCAGGAAATGTGGTACCGTGGAAGTGTACATCTTTAAGGGACATACATGTAATGGATTTGCTCCCAAATGTTAAATGTAAATGGTTGAAGAGAACCAGAGAAATGCCAATAGAAAGAGTGAAGCACTTTTTTTTTTTATTTATTTGTACAGAACTGGGGTACAGGCCAGAGATGCGGAGGGTGAGAGGATTCACCAGAGACAGAGTGGGGTACAGAACAGGCAGATGGACGAAGTACACTGCTGAGGGGAGCAGCGGGCGGGTCAGGAGAGGTCTGCCGCACCATGTGGATCACCTCAGGGGCAGGCGGGGATCGAATTCATGCGGAAGTGGTCTAAGCCTCTCTGTGCTGTGCCTTAACCCGCTGCACCACCAGGGAGGGCCCGAGTGAAGCACTTTTAACAAAAACATAAGTAAATTTGAGCTTGAGCAAGAGATGTTAATTTATGATTTTTTTTTTTTAATTTACACTATCCTGCTCACTCTAGGGCTTCCAAGTCTGGAAACCAGTCCCAGAGACATTTTAACTTGTGACAAACCCCATGCTCATATCTCTAAGGTGCCCAAGACTCAATGCAATGCGAGGCTACATAGCAGAACTGACCTTTGGTACCCCATGCACCTGCTATAGGGTGAACGGTGCCCCCACGAAATTCATATGTTGAAGCCCTAAGCCCCTGACCTCAAGACATGACTTTATTTGGATCAGATAGTCCTTGCAGATTTCATTAAAGTGGGGATTGTTAGGCTGGATTGGTATGTGACTGATGTCCTGACAAAAGGGGGAATTTTAGACTGGCACAGACACAGGCAAGGCGCCATGGAAATCCTGGCATTGTGACTGCAGAGGGATCAGGAGATCAGGAGCCCCTTGAGGCCAGGAGAGACACCTGAAGCAAATCCTTCCCTGGTGTCTTTTGAGGGAGAACACCCTCCAGACACCTTGATCTCAGACTTCCGGTCTTGGGACAGTAAGGGAAGTGACTTCTGCTCTGAGTCACCCAGTTTGTGACACTTTGTTAAGGCAGCTGTAGGAAGTGAATATGGTCCCCACAGAATACACCCTCCTTTGTGACAAATGTTCTAGTGGTATCCTCTATCCAAAGACACATCTCAAATGGCACACCTCGAAGTCTTTACTCTCAATGGTTATTCTTACAGTCATATCTACCATTTTCACAGTGCTCAAGACTGCAGTCCCTTATCTTCATCAGTCTACCCCTTGCACATGGTAGCCCCACAATGAAATTATCCTCAGTGGCAGAATGATGGAGATCTGTAGGATTAATAACATCTACAAATCCTTGGGATTGCAGGATGTGAGGCTCAGCAAGAAGAAACAAATGACCCTGGTAGAATATAAACCAAATATGCCACACAAATATTTAAGCACCTAATAACTCAGCAGCAGGATACATAAAGACAACCAATCAGAAACACTAGGAGAAATCAGCCCCAACACAGAGCAAACATGCCAGTAGACCCCTGGCAGCCTCTGTAATAGATTGGTGGGCAGCAGGGGTAGAGCTGATATTTGGAGTCCAGGAGATACAAATTTTATAACCTTTCCTGTTCCCAGAATGTCCCATGCAGAGTGAGAGTGGAAGCAGGGGTAGCTTGAAGGTAAATGACCTTTGGACTTGAGAGGAGAATATATCTCAGGACTTGAGTAAGAGACATAGTGAATACCTCAGAGGGTGGATTTTCTGTTCTAATTGCTAGATGAGTGATTTTGCCTTCACTGATACCTTCCTCTTCATTTTCAGATTGTGGCCAAGAGATACAGAGATTTTGAATTCCCTTCTGAAATGACTGGCGTCTGGAGATACTTGAACAATGCTTATGCTAGGGATGAGTTCACAAATACATGTCCAGCTGACCAGGAGATTGAGCGTGCATATTCTGATGTTGCAAAAAGAATGAAATGAAGGATGGTGGTTTTCTGCCTTATTTCACATTTGGATGGGCTAGGCTATGGCAGGAGTCTGTTCTTTGACCCCACCTCCCTGCCCCCCTCCCCCCCAAAAAAACCTATCTTTAGCAAACTAATGCCCATATGGTAGTGTGAGCCACACATCACCGTGTAATTTGTGGGTCAGAATATTTCCAGTCTCTATGGTTACACACACCAGTTGTCCAGTTTATGTTAATTTATATCTTTAACATTCACTGCTTGTAATCTATGCTCGGGGGGCAGGCATTTCACAGTGTAAGTTTCCAAGGAAATTAGGTTTGAGTTCAATTTCTCCTTCAATTAAAAAATAAGATTGCCTCTGATAGTTTTCATAATCATAGATAGCCTGTCTTTCTCCTCTAAAAATTACTAGTAAAGTTTTTTTTTTCAAAATGAGAATGCTGTCTTTGTCATTGCAAAATGATACAGATCTTATTTAATATTTAAAAACAATGTCAGCTGGTTTAAAAGAAGGGTGTCACTAGTGTGGTGCAAGGTACCTCCCGACACTTAGTTAACTCCTGACGACTACGGTGGCACGTCAGACTCTTGAGTCTCTCTTTCCCACACATATTCACAACACACACGATTTCATTCACATTGGAATTGTGTTATTCTGAAGGGCGGGAAAGTGAGGGACCCCCTGGTCTGGCCTTGATGGTCACCCATGCAGGACCTCAGAGGGTCAGCCCGGCCCAGCTGGATAGGAGGCTCAGCCCTGGTTTCACAGGGATGGAGAACCCCTGATGGGCAGGGGCCAGCTGGAACGGGAAGCAGAGTGGACCCTGTTCTTGTTACCCCTGCTCCACCATGGTGCAAGGTGCCCGTGTGGCTTTCCTTCCAGCTTCCTTTCCTGCCTTCCCCACCTCCCTCCCCACTTAGAGACACTGCGTCTCCCTCCAGTTGCGAGTGGTGGAGAATCGTCTTGCATTTCATCTTCCTGCGGTCCTTTGACGTCACACACGTCCCCCCGGAACCTCTTGTTGAGTTGGATGTGGCATGTGGTTGTCATGACGATGTTCACTGGAAAATCTTTGCATCTGTTTTATGGCGAGTCAGTTGGGAAGAGAGCCAACCACTGACAGGCACCGCCTAGGGACTCAGTTCAACGTGCCCAGTGACAGCGGCCCTAACGCCGTCCCTCTTTGTGTCCCTGGGACCAGTGCCTCGGTCTTGCCTCCGCCCACGTTGCCCTGTGCACTGGACACCGTGGGGCTGGCCGGCACGGTCTCCCTTGTTAGCGTTTCGGTCTGCCTCAGAGTCAGACTTCAAGACTAGGTTTATGATGTCACACTTCAACTTGGCACGTGAATTGCCTACCAGATGTTACTAGTGTTCACTCTGTACTTTTAGATGTTAAAATGATCTTA